TGAGCAGATCTGGGTTGAAAACAACATACAACAAGCAAATCGAAGATCAAGGCATGATAAACATCATTCAGGTTCAAGAGAAGCTTAATTGAGGTCATTTATGCTAAATTACACAGTTTGCGTCAATCTCGCAATTTTGTCGCAATTTGTAACAAACTGATATTTCATGTTGCTTTAGGCTACTTTTAGTGATTTTCACGTTTTTTATATTATTTTGGGCTGAACATTCATTTATTTAAGGCCCAATTCATGGTTATTATGATTAGGGCTTTAGGGTATTAGTTTCCTATTCTGATTAGAATTACTTTTCCCTATTTAAAGGGGCTTGTAACCCTAATTGAGGCAGGCTATTGAATCGGAGATTTTGAGAGACTTTTCTCTTTGGTTCGTTTCAGAACTTTATAGAACTTATCAAGATTATTCTTGTGGCGTTCTAACCTGACTTATTATTCTCGTTCTTAATCGCTCGAGGGTGTGGCGTCAACCAACTTTATACCTCTGGTTCTTGTTGCGTCATAGACAACGGGTCAAGGTTTTTACCTTTGGTTCTTGTTGCGTCATAGACAACGGGTCAAGGTTTTTACCTTTGGTTCTTGTTGCAACATAAACAATGGGTCAATGTCCTATTATAAACCTAATTTAGCTTTCTTGGAGTTTAGAAATCCCTTGTTGTGCTGTGGGTCTCATTGTTCTCTTTGGGGTTCTCATCACCTTGCGACCTTGATCATTTGATGCTCAAGAAGAACTATCCGAAAGCTGAAACTATAGCCTGTTGTTTCCCAACCATAATATCCTGCAAGCCTAGGAATGTTCTGTAATGCTGGGTGTTATTCTGCAGTGCTAAAAAATGTTCTGCAGTGTTAGGAAATGTTCTACAGTGCTAGGAAATGTTCTGCAATACTGAAGACTTAGAGAAAATGGTGATTTCCGGGTGGTTTTAGTGTGCCGAGAGTTGGTTGAGGATGAAGTATTTCTTTTGGAGGAAGGAGGGGAGCTCAGTGTGTGAGAGAGAAGCTGAAGTTATGTCTATGCCCCTTTTTTTTATACTTCGTACGTCTATCTTCTTGTTCTCTCCCAAAATGAAGTGCGGATAATTTATATATATATATGCAATCGTATTGTTGTAATTTCTGGTTGATGGCTTAGAGGTATGCAGGCAAGTTGGGGTGAGCTGTCGAATTTTTGGTGGTTCCAGGCATTGCTAGCAACTCTGTGACAGTGGCATCATGAATTGCCCAATGGTTGTAACGAAGTTAACTAGAAATTGTATATTTTTGGCAATGTCCCCAGCCATATGAACTCCCATCTTTGAGGAGATGCTTGAGTGCAGCCGACAAAAACAACATCTGCACAGGATTTGGTGAGTTCCCCAGGCTCCACGCAAGATTTTGGAAGATTCTATAGGCAGATAGCAATCTTTTACAATAGTTTCCAAAGCCACCTTTGCATTAAATATGGCTGCAAGTGGCCGATGGTGACCAAGACAACACTTCTGGTTAGTTTCTGACAGCATTTCCAGTCTTTGGTTAGCATCAAACAACACTATTCCGAGAATCAAGTTCATTTCCTAGCCTCTTTCTGGCGAAGTCGGGCAACATTGCCAACACCAAGCTTTGTTGGTGTGGATGCCTTGCTTTGCCAGGCGGGCAGTGTTCATCCATCCATGCCTGCCAAGCCACTACTCCCATGGTTTATCCCAAATAATTCCCATGAGCTTGGATTCATTGGCTTGTGTTTATATAGTAACAGCAAGGCATGTGTGAGCATATATTTAAGAATAAGAAACATGTAGGCATATATAGCAAAGAAGGAAACTCCCTTGTATGTTGAAGGGGACCATGTGAATGAATATTTGCTACTCTTGTTTGCTTGTGCCACATGGCTGGCATTAGTATATTGCTGTTGTACATGACTAGCGTTGCACCAGAATGAGGAACAAGTGGTATGGGTGTGTATTGCAATATCATTGTCCCGAGCCAAGCTTTGTTGGCTGGTGATACCTATTGACACACGTAAGACATAGAAAATATGTGTTATGAGTTAGGGTTACCGGCGATTGGGAATTTTATCCCTTTGTGTAAAAGAGTGAGAATGTGCATGCCCTTCGGCCATGTTATGTATGTATTGCAGGGTTAGCCATGCATAGCCTTCCCATAGCCAGAGGGACAACAATGGCTAGCTTTGTCCATGGCTGGTGTAATATCCCAAATTTTCGAGAATTTTATCATTTAAGTTAAGGACTTATTTTGGGAAAAATATTGTTTAGGGCTTAATAGTGAAAATTCTCAAACTTGAGGGACTTAAAAGAGAAAAGAATTGGATAAGGATGGGCTGATTTTTTTTCCTTTTTTCTTTCTTCTTCAGCCCGCGTGTTTTGCTCTTCTTTTTCTCCCCTATAGCCGAGCAAATAGACCCAAGCCCGACAGCACCCATCTGTTGAGAACCGGTAAAAAAAACTTGATTTTTCCTTCCTTTTCTTGTTCAAGAACAAGATTTAAGCTCGGAAATCTTCCCCCCTCTGCAGAATTTCCGAATCTGCTCTGCTCTGTTCCTTCTTTTTGCTGGTCTTGTTTTGTGGGCGTGATTTCTCTGATTTTTGGGTAAGAAACAGCCACTAATTCCTCTGTTCTTCCTTGATTTGGCTTGGTTTACTCTAATTCCTTTTGATTCCCCCAATTTTCGGTAGATTTCCCGAATTTCCCCCTGCACTTCCCGCCAGCCCTCCCTCCCCAATCTGCAGCTTCGGTTTGCTTGCTGGATTTCCTGGTATGTGATAGCTTTATTTAAGTCCAAATTACCGTTAGTTGCTGAATATTGTCCGTTAAATTGCTGCCCTGTGCTATCCAAATTCTGTAGTAATTAGGGGATGAATTCCAGTAGCTTTAGGACAAAATTTAAGCATTAATTCAAGTAGAATTTATGTGATTGAGTGTTAATTAGCTGCTGTGAGGTTTTGGAGAAAAATCCTGTGAAATTAGCTATTGTTTTGCCAATTTCTGGAAGTTGCAGTTATTGTTCACTGCGTAATTACTGTTCATGGGTACTGTTCACGCACTAATGGGCAACAATAGGAGGGGTTTAAATGTTTAGTTTATATTGAGAATAAAAATTGAGATGTCTGGTCATATGGTTATTAATTCTGGAATATTTTGGTTAGGTTTTTGATTGTTCTGTCACCCCAGCTATTGGAGTGAATTTTCTGTATTATGTGACTGAGATAAGTAAATTATGGTAACGCCCTCCGATTTTTAAAGCACATTTCAGCTCGTTTTGAAGTGGCGGTGGGACTAAACCCGTTTTACACAATTATGATTGATTTGAAATGAAATTATTATTGTTTTTATTGAATTGAGCATGCCTTCTTAGAGTTTACTTAACTGCCCTGATGATCTGGAAATTATTTGTAAATTATGATTTTCCTGTTAACTTCTGCCTGTTTTGTCTCCGATAAGGTCATGTTATTCATGTGCCTGCTAGTGGGAGGTTTATAAACGCTAGCACATGTCGACATGTTACTTATAGAACCGGTTCGTTTCTGTTATACTGTAATCCTGCTAGTGGGATTATACACTAGTAAATCGTGTGCCTGCCAGTGGGAGGTTTATAACACTGGCCATGACCTATAGAGGAGACGTCTATTTCATTTCCGTACTCGTACCTGTTTTTCGTGATTATACTTGTTGGCATGCTATAAGTTTAATTAAGGGCTATCCATATTTACTTATTGAGTTATCTCATAGTTTTTCCTTGTCCACTATTTCAGGAAGCGAAGTCAAGGACTGGGAAAAACGAGGGGAGTGACGAGTTAGAAGGCTAGCCATCTTGTAAATTGAACATAGATTTTAGATATAAATCATGATCTTGTAAGCTAGACTTTATTTGGAGATTTTATGATATTAGAGAAAATTTTAAAATTTTATCTTTAGATTTTATGGTATCAGATTGTGGTATGATAAGTTCCGAGCTTTGTTCATTTGTGGGACCCTTTCACAAGTGTACGACGTCTACCATGTACCCGGATTTGGGTTCTGGGGTGTGACAGCTGGAGCATGAACTATGTGGAATCAGAAGAGCACTCCCACTAGTCCACCAAGTCACGAAGGGGTAAATCTCATTAGATCAGACTCCGCCTGATGGGAATCAAGACAACAACATATCTACTACGTCATGTGATCCGTTACACAGCCAAGGAGGTCCAGTCACGCGAGCTAGGGCTAAGAAGATGCGTTCTAACCTGACTTATCATTCTCGTTCTTAATCGTTCGAGGGTGTGGCATCAACCAACTTTATACCTCTGGTTCTTGTTGCGTCATAGACAATGGGTCAAGGTTTTTACCTTTGGTTCTTGTTGCGACATAAACAACGGGTCAAGGTCTTATTATAAACCTGATTTAGCTTTCCTGAGTTTAAAAATCCCTTGTCGTGCTGTCTCATTGTTCTCTTTGGGGTTCCCATCACCGCCATAGCGATGAATATGATAAAGAAATGTGGAGTTGTCTCCATGAAAGGGACACGCTAGCCACATCGATGGCCTCTGATATGATAAGGTGTGATACCGCTGACAAGTGTTGGCTCTTCTTGCCATATCCGCACCGTCAGAGGATAGTACTAGTTGTTGTTGCCCACTGGGCACCGCACCACCATGCATGGGCGACCATCGAGGGACTGTCGGCCACTACTTGATGGATTTTTATAGTTAGAGGGTGGCCATCCCATCCAATTGCAGGGTTGCAATTGTTACCGGCCTCACGCTAATTGTACCGAGTTGTGCTGACTCTTTGTCCATTTCCGGGAGCCAATGAGATAGAATATGTAGAAATGTATAGCCTTTTGTCCATTGTTGGAGACTAAATGAAATAGTAATCTTGCCTTTTGTCCATCGTTGGGAGCTGTGTAGATATAATAAGATTAGCCTATTGTCCATTGACAAGAGCCATGCAGTAAAATAGGCTCTTTGTCCATTGTTGGGGAGCCAAAATACATAGCAGTAAACATTGCTATAAAGGACATGACTATCAAAAATGCCCAACCAGTTGTGCAGATAATGTAGCCATGTTTGGCCATGTATAAGGGAATGCTACTGAAGTGGAACATGCTTGTATCTGATGGGAATCAAGATGACCCCACATGTACCACGTCAAGAGATCCATTAACAATTCCAGGAGGTCCAGTCACGAGAGCTAGAGCTAGGAAGATGTGAGAAGTTTTAAATGGCCTTATTGAGCAGATCTGGGTTGATAACAACATGCAAGAAGTAAATCGAGACTTGGATGATTATGAAGGCATGATAAACATCATTC